CAAATAAATAAATAAATAAATAAAATTAAAATCATTAATCTTGAAGTCTTCTGTGTAGACTAATGATATCTATAAATAATGATAGTTACACATCATCCTTTCCTGTATTTATTCCTTTTATTTCCTTCTTTTGTCTAATTGCTCTGGCTAATGTTTCCAGAACTATATTGAATAGAAGTGGTGAGAGTAGACATGTTGTCTTATTCCTAGTTTTATTTTTATTTTTTAAAATCTTTTACTATTTTTTTATTTGGCACAGGGTCTCACTTTACAGCTCGGACTCATAGCGAATTGCCTGTCTCAGCCGCCCCAGTGCTGGGATTACAGGCGTGTACCACCATGCCCAGTTTTGGTGGCAGGTTTAGCGCTTGGGCCCAGCACAGCATATGACCCTGGGGATCAAACCTGGATCCTTGCACTTGCCAGACAGAGCTTAGACTGCCAAGCTATCTCCCCAACCCCTTATTCCTGATTTTAGAGTGAAAGCTTTTAGTTTTTGTACATTTAGTATGATGTTGCTTGTTGGTTTGTCATAAATGACTTTAATTAAGATCAAGGTAAAGATGTATTCCACTTTTCTGTAGGGTTTTTATTAAAAGTGGGTGTTGGACTTAGTCAAATGGTTTTTCTGCATGGAGATGATCTTGTTTTTTTTTGTCCTTGGCTCTGTTGATATGGTGTATTACATTTATTCATATACATGTGTGGAATGGTCCTTGTGTCCCTGAGATGACTCCTGCTTGTTCATGGTATATAGTCTTGTTGGTGATTTGCTGCATCTATATACAGAGACTGAAAGTGATGTTATACTACAGTTGTAAGTTATTTGCAACTGTACAGTAATATGTTACAAAATAAATTATTTAGAATGCAGTAAAATATATTGTCAAGGTATATAGAACTGTACAACATACATGGATATACTCTGTGTAGAATTATTGGCTCTGTAGTGTTTCAAGTTACATTCTTAGAAAGAGAAACAGAATGTCCAAGATTAAAGGAAAAAAATATACTAACCACCTGGATTTGACTGCATTACAAATAC